AAAAGTATAAAAGTTACTAAAACCAAAAGTACTGAACGAGTTCAACATGATGCATCATCAAAACATTTCGTTTGTTGAGGTAGTTAATCTGAAAAAAAAAATTATATATATATATGGAGGAAACTACACATAGGGAACAGTAAATGCTGAATCAGCATTCCTGCAGTAAAATATTGAGTCTTTTGTTATGACTCATTTTAACCCTTTATAGAGACAGAACTAATACCTTATCATCTCTTTAGTGGACAAGTGGATCAAACAGAACAAGATGGACTTTCTGGGGATCCCCACCTGTGTTGGATTTGGTCTCCATGCAGATTCCTACAGGTGTGCATTAAACTCGTTCACATTTACAAACTGCTGCAGCATCTTTCACTGACTCAGATTATTATTTTATTTTTATGCAGGTTTCTGATTTTCCCTAACATGGGTCGCTCCCTGCTCTCTGTGATCGATGAGGAAAACAAGCTTTTGTCAGAGAAAGACGTCCTGCAGCTCACCTGTAGAATCGTGAGTGATTTAATCCCATCATGAAGCAGGATTACGTTCGTTGGGCTCGGCTCTTTTGGTAAAACGTGATTATTTATTTTTATTTTTTGGTCCTTTCAGCTGGACGTGCTGCAGTTTATGCATTCAAACGAGTATGTTCATGCTGACATTAACGCAGAGAATATCTACATCAAAACTGGACCAAAATCACAGGTGAGAAACTCTACGGAACCTGCAGGGCAACAAAAAACAGACTTTTCACAAAATTAGCACGAAAACTCAGATTTGGCAAATCTTTCTTGTGCACAACCCACATACTCAGCTCCACTGCTCATCCCACAAATGCATGTTCCTTACAAATGTGGCACCATTTAAAAGAGAAATTAACAGCCTTTGAGGTATTGCCGAAAAGCATTTTTACAAATTTGTGATCTCAGTGTTTTGTTTTCGTCTTTTACTCAGTTTTATCCTGGTTCTTTTTCATACCTGCCGGCTAAATATAAGTTTGTGCATCTGTGTGTGTGTGTGTGTTATTAGGTGTACCTGGGAGGATACTGCCACGCCTTCAGGTTCTGCCCCGGAGGTCAGCACGTTGAGTACCGTGAAGGCAGCAGAACGGCACACGAAGGCACCGTGGAGTTCATCAGCCTGGACGCTCACAAGGGAGCAGGTTTGTTTTTTTAATCTTTGTCCCACTCATCCTCACCAAAGGAAAAAAAAAAGTCACACCAGTTACATCCAATAGGACCTAATCCTGTTCGTTTCTGCAAACCAATCATTCCCAGATTGATCTTCTTCCTTCCAGCTCTGCACCCACAAACCATCTGGCATGAATGTTTTCCTCTCTGACTGTAATCTTGTAAAACATCTTCTAAAATGTCCCACCTGTTTGATCATAAAAACAAGCCGAAGTCTCCTGCTGATGCTTGGATCTTGTGTTCCAGCTCCGTCTCGTCGCAGCGACCTGCAGTCTCTGGGATACTGCATGCTGCACTGGCACACGGGGACGCTGCCGTGGTCCGAGCTCGCTCAGCCCGACCAGGTGGCCGCTCAGAAACAGAGGTACGACAAAGAGTTTATGACGACTGTCAGGATCTGCACTTTAAAACGTGAAACAAGAGGCTGCAGATCTGTTTAAAAAAACATGTCTCATTCAGGTACATGGAAGACGTTAAAGCCCTGATGAGCCACTGCTTTGGGAGACAAAAGGTTTCAAGTGAGTTTTACATGTTTTATGTGTTTTTGTAGATGAGGTGTCCAAAAAAGATGATGTCATTTGAAATCAAGGAAGAATTGGCTTGATTAGACAATAAAATGATGTCAGTGTTTTTGTTAATGTGTGTCTGTGTTGTGTAGGTGCATTTCAAGACTACCTGTCAGCAGTCATGTCTCTGCAGTATTCTGAGCAGCCAGACTACTCAGGACTGAAGACAGGACTCTGTGCTGCTTTACAGAAGCTGGGGGGGTCCATGGAGCAGCCGCTCAGTCTTTAGGTGAGGCTCCGCCCCCTTATTACTAACTAGAACCCTGAACTATAAACTGGAATCAAAATATTCAGGGTATCTTAGTTATCAGGGTTAACGAACCCCTAATAACCTAATAAATATGAGTTGGGTCTTCTCGATTAGCTGTGGGGCTATTTAATTTCAGGTTGACTGCTGATTAAGTAATATCTGTCAGGTGGTTCATGAGATATTTTGCTAACAGACAGGCATACCAACACACAGAAGCAAAAACATTATCACTTTCAGCAGTGAGTGATTTAAGCTGAGAGAAAAAGGCAAGTTGAAAGTGCAGTAAAGCCTTCCTGTAAAATCTACTTTCTTTTCACAGAATCGAGCCATAAGACAGCAGATGGATTTAAGGATAAACATTTTACTATAGTTTTATTCTGACATGCTTTATGATTTTTTTTTTTTGCACTAAAGGCTGTGAATGAAATATTTCAACATGTTCAAATAATGAAGAGTTCAAGCGGTTTCACTGTTTCAAGTATTAATGATCCTGGTGACACATTCTGGTTTGTAGTTTTTTTGTTTGGTTTTTGGTGTTGTTGTTAAATGTGTCACTGTTTTTAAACGATTTTAGACATTTGTGCTTGTTTGTTTACATAAAGGTAGGAGTGCAGTTTGTTTTTATATCAGTTCTACTGCTGTGGATTAATAAAAATAAAAATGTTTCTCATTAACAACTAAATATTGTTTTTTTAATATATATCTACAGTGGGGAAAATAAGTATTTAGTCAGTCACCAATTGTGCAAGTTCTCCCACTTAAAAAGATGAGAGAGGCCTGTAACTGACATCATAGGTAGACCTCAACTATGAGAGACAAAAATTTCAAATATAACAAATATTTCAATAAAACAACTATAGAATTGCAAATGTACACATTAAATGTATTTATAC